CGTCGCCTCCTTCTTCTGCGAGTGCCCCCACGGACGCACCGGTACGAGAAAATGAATGAAATACCTCGTTGCCTGCATGCTGCGAGAAAAAGGGAATTATCCAAATATTCAAGATACTCCGTTAACTCATTGGCTGCCAAAGACGTCTATAGACGTCTTTTATGTTTTTCAACAAGAGTGGCTGGGGGACGATCTGCTAAAGCTTGTCCGTAAATATCAGGCTTCTAGACAGAGTATGTAGTAACGAATTGACCCTCTAGGGGGCAGTGCCACTTTTGATGGGAGATGAGCATAGATTGTAGGCAAATAAGAAAAAGCTAACGGTTCTATATGAGAGAACATGTCGCCGGTGAGACGCAAGTCCAGGAAGAACGGAATAAGGTAGAAACAATTTTTTTTTCCTGATGAAAGAAGAGAGTCTAGTCTTTCTTTTGGTGTGTTCGGTGTTTACATAGTCATAGCACAAACTATTCTGTGGCTCTTGAAAAATCAGTCAAAATGCTCAAAAAACTCTGGCAGTATGGGACTCTGTTCTGAAAATGGCTGGCAGTCAATGAGTTAATGTATTAGCCTTAACTTCTGCTAACTCCCTAACTTTGGCTTCATTGCTTCAGCTCGAACAAGACTCCTCTTGACTTCAAAATAAAAGTGCTCTCTCTTTAAACTTCACAACAAAAGCAAATCCACTCTATACTAAATAATACAAAATAAAACAAATACAACTTACATAAATTCCAATCAGACAAGTACCCTTGAAAAGAATAACAAATAATATACTTTTAATATTTGAACCTTATGTATAAGACAGTATAAACAACAATTACAGTCAGTTTATGATAAATCTAATAAAAATGGCCAAGGGAGCCTTTGGAAATGATCTCTTTGACTTTGGCCCCTTTAAAGGTGATAAATTCATGGAGTTTATTTGATCTGCTTTTAATTTCCCTTTAGGGAAAGAGAGGTGGAAGGAGGCTTTAGAGGACAGGATGGCTATGGGGGGGGGGAAGGAAATGCTTTAGGAGTGCTGCCTAATTACAGACAAAATCAAACAAAGGGCCGACTGGACTCCTGGACTAAACCAAAGCTCTGTGGATCTGTGTTTGAGATGGGAGGGGGGTTAAAGGGGGGGTTACTACACACATGTGTAACTGGCAGAACCAAAAGGAAACTATTTATTTCTCATTAAACTACTAAGGATTGGTGGAACTCAGCTTTCTCAGAATCAGAATCAGAAATACTTTAATTCATTTTGTTACTGGCTCCATTAATAGAACAGCAGCATATACATATGTACATGTCTGTACATATATACATATACATATATATATATATATACATAATTCCTCATATAATATAGATAGATACAGTGGGGGAAATAAGTTTTTGATCCCTGGCTGATTTTGAAGGTTTGCCCACTTACAAAGAATGCACCGATCTATAACTTTAATAATATGTACATTCTAACAGTGAAAGACAGCATCCCAAAGAAAATTCCAGAAAGTCACATCAAAAATTGATAACCATCTGATGAGGAAAAATCAGCATTCTTTGTAAGTGGGCAAACCTGCAAAATCAGCAAGGGGTCAAATACTTATTCCCCCCCACTGTATATATATATATATATATACAAAATTCCTTATATAATATAGATAGATATATACATACAAAAAACTATATGTATATATATATAGGTCACTAAGTTAACAAACAGATGGAGGGGGAATGGCAAAAACAGGCTCTGAACGGCTGATCTAGAGGCTTTCTGGGGGGGTTGATGGATCTAAAGGCTCTCTGGGGGGGGTGGGTTTTCGGGTTAGTCCATTTTCTAACCCGTGGGGGGGGTTTTAGGCCTGCTTTGTCACCTGGACGACGCCTGCATCAGCAACCCGTGTCAGAAAGGCTC